GGACAACGATTTTATCGGTTTTAGAGTACGGTAGTTTTTGCTTCCAGTCGGCGGCTAAAACGCACATCATCAAACTGGAACGGATCCAGTATCGCTGTCTTCGTATCGCGTTAGGATGCATGCACTCGACTCATACGATGAGTCTCGAAGTGTTAGCGGGCATGTTGCCACTATCTGATCGGTTTTCGGAATTATCCCTCAGGCTCCTCACCCGTTGTGAAATTATGAACCCACTGGTGATTGCAAACTTTGAGAAGCTTCTTGAGCTAAACCCCCAAACTCGTTTTATGACATTGTACTACGTGTACATAACACAGGATGTCAGCCCTTCACAGCATAATCCTCATCGTGTATGCTTCTCTGACTTCGGCAATTCAGTTAGTTTTGATTTATCTATGACGCGGGAGATTCGTGGGATCCCAGAACATTATCGTTCCATGATTGTTCCGTCAATTTACGCTGCAAAGTTTGGCCAAGTTGATTCCGCAAGATCGTTCTTCACAGATGGATCACTAATAGAGTCGTCCGCTGGTTTTGGTATTTTTAACGAATTTCATAGCGCCTCTCGAATGCTTCAAGCTCCTTGTTCCGTATATGTTGCTGAACTGGCGGCAATACACTATACGCTAGAAACGATCGCCTCACTTGCACCAGATCACTATTTTATTTTTACGGATAGTCTCAGTTCTGTCGAGGCTATTCGATCCATGAGGCCGGTAAAGCACTCCTCGTATTTTCTCATGAAAATACGAGAGCTTTTAAGTGCTTTATCTTTAAGATCTTTTGTCATCACCTTTGCATGGGTCCCATCTCATTGCTCGATTCCGGGCAATGAGATGGCGGACTCACTTGCTAAGGTGGGCGCTATGGAAGGCGATATTTACGATCGACAAATCGCCTACAACGAATTTTTCTTCATTTATCGTCAACAGTCACTCGTCAGCTGGCAGAATAAGTGGAGTGAAGGGAGTTTGGGACGATGGCTATATTCGATCATCCCTAAGGTGTCGAAGAGTCCTTGGTTCAAGGGGTTGGATGTGGGTCGAGACTTCATTCGTATGATGTCTCGCCTCATGTCCAATCACTATTCGTTAAACGCTCACTTGTTCCGTGTTGGGCTGGGAGACAGCAATCTCTGTGAATGTGGACAAGGTTACCAAGACGCCGATCACATCCTTTGGTCTTGTGCTGAGCATCGTGGAGTCAGATCTGAGCTGTGCGATTCCCTTCGGGCTCGAGGTAGACAACCTAATGTTCCAGTTCGGGATATTTTGGCTAGACGTGATCTGGAGTTTATGAAACTCATATATGTTTACTTTAAGAATACTAACCTTAGATTGTAAGTTTTATTAACCTTGTGTTTAGTTTGTGTATTGTGCGTGTAGTTTTTTTTTAATGTTTGTTTTCAAGATGAATAGAAATTAGTTCATGTTTTAGGATTAATTAAATATTTGTATCGAAAACCACATTTCAAACCTCCCTCTCCCTTTTCCCATCCAAAAAAATTGTAAATCTCCACTAACCTCGAGACAACCGCGTGTATCCGGTCCAGCTCCTTTAACTTATATATAATATAAAACATATAAAACATCAATAATGTATAACGAAAATGATAATTCGGCTCTGTAAAGTTTATTCGATTGAGCCTGTACAAATAAAGTAATTAATAAAAAAAAAAAACTGTATTTTACTACCAATAGTTAACTCGTTTTTCAAGCGACATAGAATTCCATACTTCTTGGCAATTTTCTTGATGGCATTGTCAATATGAGAATTGAACTTGAGTTTGTCATCAATAATCACGCCAAGATATTTAGTTTCCTGAACGCGATCAATTGTCTCATCATCAATAACAACAAAGACATCATCATCTACACGATTCCGCGAAATTACCATGAATTTAGTTTTACTTATATTCAATTTCAATTGTTTATACTTCAACCATCTACTTAGAGAACGCAAATCTTCATTCAAGCGTGAAACGGCTTCTTCTAAAGCTTTAGCTGCAATGAATAACACAGTATCGTCAGCAAAAAGATTAATATCACAAAACCGTAAAACTCGTCGCATGTCATTAATATACATAATAAATAAAAGGGGCCCTAATACACTTCCCTGAGGCACTCCAAGGTCATTGCCAACGGGACAAGATACAAAATCATTAAAAACAGTCCTTTGTGTTCTGTCAGATAAATAGCTTTCAAACCATTTGTATGCAGAACCCGAAATTCTAAAGCGCTTGATTGTTCTTAACAATAAGGGCCTAGAAATTGTCTCAAAAGCGCGTTTTAGATCCAAAAACACAGCAACAATCGTATCTTATGCTCCAAATTTTCTTTCCATTTAGCTAACTCTAAGTTTAACGCGGTTTCACAAGAATGGCCTTCCCGGTATCCCGATTGTTCCGGTATCAACAAACAGTTACTATTTAAATATTCTAACAGCTGGCCTTTTACAACAAGTTCTAAAATTTTCTCTAATGTGTGCAACATGTTGATGGGACGAAACTCTTCGGCTTTAATCGTCCCAGCAACTTTTTGTATAGGAACAACTAAAGATTCTTTCCAAATATGCGGCACGTGCCCAGATTGCAATGATTGATTTATAAGGTCCCGCAGAGTGTGTCGAATGACATGAAAGCAATCTTCAATAACTCTAACATTAACATTATCTACTCCAGCCGTTTTTCCTAATGAAAAGCAAATATTTTTAAGTTCATCTAATGTAATTGGGGGAAAACCATTAAATCTACAATTACTATTAATCGGCTGTTTTTATTTCGTCCGGTTCATTGATCAGTTCAATAGATTGATTGATCAGTGAAACGCTCTCAATGAAATAGTCATTAAACTTAGAAGCAATTACTGGTTCTGACTGTTCTAATATGCCATCAAAAGTTATGGTCCGCGATTTACAATTACTAGGCTTCATCAAAGATTTCATAATTTTCCATAACTCTTTGCTGTTCTTTTGATGCTGATCAATTTTCCTCTGAATATATTCACATCAAGTTTTCTTAATCGATTGTGAATATTTATTACGCACGACCGTGTACCTATTCCAATGATTATCACTATTAGATCTACAAAACTTTTTGTACCATTTGTCCCTCTTACGTTTAAGACGCAAAAGATCCAAATTGTACCAGCTGTTCGAGTTTTTCAAAGAAACAAACTTTTGTTCAACTAATTTATTGGTACAAGTTTTCAAAACGTTGTATGGGCCGACATTACCTGCATTTCCCCTATATATATTTTTTTCATATTGCCTTGGTAGCTTTTCGAAAGAAAGCAGGCAGAATAGATAAAAAAAGAATGCGCACAAACTACTAAAAAGTCATGTAAATTTCGGTTCCCTGAGAGCAATACATGTAAGCGGGCCTTTTGACATAAGAATCAGTTGAAAGAGACGTGAACATTAATTCAATCAAACGTTCTCTTCGTAGACTAGCTGATGTTTTGGTTTGAGAACACTTAATTCCACAAAGTGGATGCACTTCAATCGTGTCGAAAATATGGTGTAATATTACTTGCCAAAAAGGGCAAAATTATCATTAATACAGTGCATGTGCTGACATTACGTTGCTTTTACTGCATTCGTTTATTTGTGTGGCTATAAAAATTACATGAGATTTTCGACATGATTGAAGTGCATCCTCTTGGATGTAATATTAATTTTTTTTTCTGTGTACAATGTGAGGGGATCCAAACAAAGGTAATCACAATCATATATGATCTTTCGACCAGCGCAATCATATGCTCCCTTACTTTTAAAATGAGTGCCTACCAAGCGTCAACGACCCAGGTACCTCAATGGAACTGAGATTATCCGAGAAGATGAAGGAGTGGTCTGCGGGCATTTAGACATCAAACCCCAATGAAGTATACCATGGAAGGCAAATATCCGATGAATGTAGTGGTGGTAAGTTCTCATGAATCGGTATAACAGCAGTAACTGTTACAGCATAAGAATTGCTTCAAAGTTTTCAATTACAATTCAATTCGTCAATCTGCAATTGATGTCCCTACATACGTCTAGTTGCGGCTGACTGCTGATTTGGTTACAGATATAGTTGATTGGAATGTCCCAGAGGCCTAACATGTGTGACACAAACCTCGTTTGCTCGTCACGTTACACTAGAACTCTGCTATTTCGCTTCACACTAATTGATTATCTGAAAATTACCTGATCTTTTCCCAAAAGCAAAAAAAAAAATACTATAAGATCATTAAAATTTCTTCGCTATACGCAACAAACTTCAATGAACTAACCGGCATCACTTGCATTCACGTGTTAGACCTCAATTTTCAAACACTTTCTGCTACTTCTCTCAACCAAGCCCACACTAAATAGTACGGTTGCTATTTCGACAACACTTCTACCAGCAAACAAGCAACCGATTTCGCAGCAAAATTTCCCATCAAAAAGCACACTCCCTTCTTGATAGGCATACAACTATCGTTTTCCGGGAAATGCACATGGCGATGCTGCCTGCTCTCTCCGTTCGCTCCAAACTCTCAGTTGACCGTCAGCGAGGACTCGAAAGTACATTGCCCCCTGCAACGGCGTCGTCGACAAGGACGACGACGACGGATGGTCGGTGGCGATGATGGGGTCCCTGTATAGGTGCTCGATTACGCAAGCACACAACCCTCGTTTCCGTGCTAGTTTGCTTCACAGGGCAAAACAGGAGAAGCCGCTCAGCAACTATAAAAGCAATTGACGTCATCGAAAAAGCTTGTTATGACGCTCTTGATGTGCAGCAGAGTTGGCACACTGCATGATGCGATGATGTCCTGCAGCGTTGTGGTCGTCCCTGCTCAGTATCTAGTATATGCATTATTCGAGTTGAACAAGTTGTAATGCGATAAAAAGCTATGAAAGACATTCCCTTTTTTGCGGTCGATTTAGCAGCCATCGTAGAATTTATTGCGATGCCTGAAATTTATCACTTCCACAGGTACGTATTATGCTCGGAACCCAACCCAAACCGGCGGATGCGGATTTTCTCTTTCAGCTCTACAAATTATACCAATCGATAATCGACTGCCGATGTTTAATATTGCATGTATTTACTGAATAAAATGTTGATGGATGCTGTTTTCGACAATGTAGATGGCTATTCTATGGAAATTTAAATCCCGCCTCATTCGATTTGCTACCTCGGTGGAGGTACAAGGTTTTTCATAGATCAATTAAAAAGCTACCACGTCATATTCTTACCTCCTCAGTGGGGTTGATGAAAAGCGGTCATCAACTGGAGCTGCTGTTGGCTGGTCAGGGAGATTGGATGCGTTTGCGGTGGCATCAGGTGCTGCTGCTGCTGGTGGTGGTGATGTTGGATGGACAACGTGCTGCCGTTGCTGTTGGTGCTTCCGGTTGGAGAAACGGGAGCAGAATCAATAGTTATTAATGGTTGATGATGATGATGATGATGATGGCTGCTGCTGCTGCTCCCCTCGCCCCAGTCACCAGCAGCTCCGAAAGTAGGATGGTTGGTTTGCAGGTGCTTTTTGAGCGAGCTTTTCTGACCGAAACTCTGATGGCATACTTCGCAGTTGTACATTTTAATGCCTGTTGTTGGTGGGTTTTGAAAAATGCAAATAGCTTTAAATTGGACATTTGAAAAAGAGAAATTTATTTTTAGGCTTACCAGTATGAGTGCTTTCATGCTCCAAAAGGAATCGTTTTCTGATGAAGGATTTCTCACAGTATGAACATTTGTATGGTTTAATGCCTGCAGGATGGAAAAATAATTTGAGAAAGCAATTGAGTCAAGTTCGCTTAAGAGCTTCATTCAGTTTGTGAATTGTTATGTTTACATTTAAAACTATGGGTTGTTTCATGCCTAATTCCCGACTCTTGGGATTACCGACCACCCCCCCCCCCCCCCAGGATCCTTGCAAAAACGGTACAGAATTAAATTTTTCAACTGTAGATTAAGTTTTGGAGCATCTTAGATGAATCAATTTATCAGGAAAAGTAAACAAGTGTTCCGTTTTCTATGTCTCAAGGCAACAATTTCTGCTCACAACACTCTTTTTGACGTTCTCCTATTCATCACCAGAGGTTGAATCGGTCGTTTAGTTTCTATTAAAAAGCCTATTGGCAAATCACAGTTGGCACTCGTGGAGAATAGAAGAACTATGAAAGTGATAATGGTTTCAAAATTTTCCACGGGGTATACGAGTGCAATCTTAAAATGCTTTTATTTTGCTTCCAGATATTTTTAATGAGAAAAATTAAGACTTAAAACTGTGCCTGTGATTATGATCTTCCAAACATTTTATGTGTAGTTATTTGAGCTGAAAATCAGTTCAGATCTGTAGAAACACGTAAAATAAGACCACTACCGATGGAAACTTGCAAGTTTTTCTATAAAATATGCATTATTGCGTTTGGATGACATTTCCTCTCAAAATCGCCTAATGCACTCTACATTGGATGTGCATCGTTGTATGTTCAAACTCCTTCAAAAAGTTGGTGAATCCAATAGCTCTTTTGATGCACCATTAATGTTTAGTGCGCTAGTTGATTTAGAAAGGAAATGTCATCCAAACCGTATGTTTACATCATAATGAAGATTTTCCAAGCTCAAAATAATGCATATTTTATTGCACACCTTACAAATTTTCATCGGTAGTGGTCTTATCTGAACTGATTTACAGCTCAAATAACTACACATAAAATGTTTAAAAGATCATTACCGCAGGCACAGTTTTAAGTCTTAATTTTTCTCATTAAATATATGTGGAAGCACCAGCTGGATCACTGCAAAATCGATACATAAAACAAAATATTCCACATGGGGTGCGATTTCAAGCACCTGCCGTGGATAAATTAATCAGGAAAGGTGATAACATTTTCCTCTTCCTATGGTTCTCGGTGAAAATTTTAGCCATCATCACTCTTTTTAGGCTTCCCCTATTCACCACCAGAGGCTGAAACGATCGCTTAGTTTCTATTGGCTTCACCTATCGATCCTTTAGTCGCTATTGGCAAATCAAAGTTGCCACTCGTGGAGAATAGAAGAACTATGAGAGTGATGATGGTTTCAAAATTTTACACGGTGAGGTATACGAGTGCAATCTTAAAATGCTTTTATTTTGCAAATGGAGCATTTTATTTAAATCTGGTTGATGCTATGTTAGTAGAAAACTTAAGGACTACTCAATAGACAAATAATACAGAAAAATTAATTTCTTTTCAGATTTTTAGGTGTACACATAGATTTGAGCTTTTCTACCACTGTAGCAGCAACCAGATTTAAATAAAATGTTCCATTTGCAAAATAAAAGCATTTTAAGATTGCATTCGTATACTTCCCCGTGGAAAATTTTGAAACCATCATCACTGTTATAATTCTTCTATTCTCCACGAGTGCCAACTTTGATTTGCCAATATTCATAGTCCGGCGGATAGAATCTCGGGAACTAATTGAGCTGTCAAATAGCGGAACCGATCGAGCAAATCACGACCAACAACAGAAAAGAGCACATCAGCTATTGCGATCAAAACTTCGGAAACCCTTTTCTCGTGACTCAAGGCTCGCCTATGCAAACTAACACCATCTTTGGGTTGGGGATAGTTTCCCCTATCCAATGATGCTGATAATTTGCGTTCGGTTGGCGAGGAAGAATAATCAACGTTTTGTTTATAAAAGTTGATAGTACCTTTTCAATTGTTGGTCTAAAATATATTGAATGGGTTCCGCATTTTGATAGATCGAAATACTATCCGCCATACTATTAATGTAGCGACTATATTCGATCCCCGTTTAAACGAGGCATAGGGCTAATTTATCACGAAAAATGAAAAAGTGTTCCGCTTACTATAGTATGTCCCACGGCAAAAGTTTCGCAACACCACAAGTAACAATTCAAGCTGAACATTAAGAACAGAATCTGATAATTGGTTGATTTAAGGTGTACAAAGCTGATTAACATCAGGCTGAATATATAGTTGATTAGTAGTGCATGAAGCGAATTGTACCCCCATAATCCAACCTCAATAAGTTAGCTGATCTAAAGATTGAACAAGCCTTATTTAAGCTTAACACAACTCCACAAATCAGCAATGCGTTACACATATTTTGATAGCTTGATTTGTTAAATGTCGTCAGTGTCTGTGTCCCTCGTTGCATGTCCGACATTTTAGTTCTTCTAAATTCACGGCCTACCTTTCCAATTACAAGCAGTGGCAGCAGTAGAGACAAGGAAAAGGAGATTTTTAGGAATAGCTGGTAGATGTGGGCTGCGACAAGTATACATTTGTATTCCTGTGTTTTGTCTGTTATATTGCACTGAAGTTTCAGACCGCATTTCAAAAATATTAGTTGTTGTTTACAATTCTGCATTGCTGTATAATACTCTTCCGGTTGCTGTTATTCAACTTAAATTTGACGTGCTTCAAGTTAATGGTCATACCTTTTGCCACACATATGCTTAAATGGTCCAGTAGGTATGGTTGACGCCTGCGATTCAGCGACTGCCGGTTCGAATCCCAAAATCCAAAGGTAATTTTTAAACTTATATCAACAACATAAATATGTAAATTCAATTAGTCAGCAACAATTAAAAGCAGTTCCATATAAATGCATAAGATATGAAGCGGTCTTCCATTAATATTTTTGAAATAAAACTAGAAGGCTGACCAAGGGTTGGAAAAGACTGTTATGTAATGCCTTAAAAAGCATATAATGTACTTATAATTATACTGTTCAGCTTTTGGCTGATTAAAATCACCAGATTTAGATGTTTAAAAGCTGAACAAAGGTTAACGTGGTCTATGTACAGCAATTATTCAATCTAAGGCTGAATTAAAATCGATTAAACAACACTTGTTAAGCATCAAATTGTTACCTGGGACTCTTTAGTGCGTTTAGATTGAATCGATCGCTTGGTTTTTTTTTTCATCATGTATCAATGAATCAAATTTCCATCAGGAGTGGTCCTATTTTTCGATTATCTACAGTTCTGAACTGATTAACAGCTGAAATAACTACACATAAAAAATTTGGAAAAACATTATCGCTGGGACAATTTTACAAATCTTATTTTTTCTCATCAAAAACTCAGAGGCTGACACAATTGCTTGGTTTCTATTCGATTCGCCTGTGGAACGGCTTGCTATGCCCCGCTCCCATCAGCAAAAAATCTAGGAAATATAATAAGAATTATTATTATTATTATCCAAATAGGAGGGACTTACCGTCTGATAATTTCAGTGTTTGGTACTGAAATCTGTAATCTGTGATAGGGATATCACATTTTTCTCAAATGATAGACATGCCATCACAAAACGCATGAAATCTTAAAAAAAAATGCAATATTTAGTGAAACAAATTACTCAATCGGTTGATAAAAGATGAACCGAGAAATGTTTGGAGGGATTTGAAGCTAAAATGTTCTGATCGTGAAATATTCGAGATCAATTACGAAATTTCGCATACAATAGGTGCAAAATTGTGCACCCCGTTTTTGTGTGTGCTTTTTTAGCGTTCTGAAAAAAAACCCCTACCTCAACTACCTTAAAAATTTACTTAAAAACACTTTGCAGGATTTTACAATAATCTCAAGCATTTTCTTTGGAATAATTTCCCTTCATATAGATGATTTCAGATATCTTCTAAAATAAGTTTGAGATTCTGTCTGGGAGTCCCTAACAGTTTAAAAATTCTCTGCAGATCAAATCAAAAAACAGCATGAAATTCATCCTTCGATTTTCATAGAAACTTCCTTCCATAATTCTATTTAAAATTCAATTAAATTATCTTTAGAATTCTCAAGCAATTTACCTAAGATTTGTCTTGTTTTGAATTATCTGAGAGTTCTTCTCTTTTCCGGTGACTTCGAATTCCAGGCTTTTTCCAGATTTCCCGGTCCACTAGTCACCCTGCTCATTCCACATTTGCCCTATATCATCCGATCGATTCTCCACAAAAGAGAGAGCGAGATTGTAATTAGGGCGAAAATTGCAAAATGTAAACAAATGGATAAAAGCCGAGCAAGTTTTCAAGTATTAATTTAATTTTTGATTGAAGCTGTAGCAATATAGCCGGCACCGATGGTGTAGTGGTAAGCGTGACTGCTTTCTCACCCCAATGTGTCTAAGTTCAATCCCAGCCTAGGTCGGTTGGATTTTTTTGAGGCATGAAAATCTCTGGTCAGTAAAGCCGTTGGTCCCGGCCCATGTGTGTTGATGCTTGGGTGTGATATCCTACGCAGGTGTGGAAGCTGTCTTCCTGCACATTCGATTGCCGTCAATGAATGGCAATCGATGTCCGTCGGAGATTGGCACTTGATTGCGGAACAGAGACCGACGTTAAATATGATTATGATCGATACATTGATCCATTCAATTATTTATGTTGAGTAAAATCCCCGTTTAGTTCATTTTACGTTAAGAATACACCATCATTAAATCGCCCAAACATGTTTAACAACAACTGAGTTCTGCTGCAACCTTCGACCGGTTTGAATGTACGGCTGTCCATGCTGATTGTCCCTTTACTTCTGTTAGTAAAACGCGCTCGCGGGTGATTTCAAGAGCGCTGTGTGCTTCTCAAAACCATAGATTTACGAAGAATAGAAACTAGCAGCACTGTATCGAGCACAAAAACATGAAATGTCAATTTATTACCATTCACAGTGATATTCACATAGATTTTTTATTAGAAAAAGCTATAGCTTTGGTTATTTTCTCCTTTTGACATCGATAAGATTCTTGTTTTGTATG